ACCCCACCCCAATTTTGTACAACTCTCTAAACCGTAGACATCACACTAAACGTTCTTGTCATCTTAGAAGCGGTCACTACATGCAATCCAAGAGAGGAACTAAGGGTTCCAACTCTGGATACCTGACTTTTTCAGCTTATTGACTTGTTAGAGGAAGAGAGGCAAGGCGTGTATATTTATAGTCTTTTTGGTGAAATAAGAGAGCGGTCACCCAGTTTTTTTTCTTTTTGAAAAAAGCTTGGGTGAAGGATCAAATGAGCTTTAATCAGTTAATTGATTAAATCTCTACGTATTTTCACATGGCACAGGAAGTCTCTTTCCAGGAACAGACTACTTATATTTCAGGGTGGGGCAAGTTCCTAAGTGCCCCCCCCCCCATGGTAACAGGGCAACAGACATGTTCCCTCTCTCCATCAGCACTGGAGAAGGGTGATGACCTGGACAGTCTTGGAGATTGTCCTCAGGTTTGGAAATCAGAATGGAGAGGGCTAAAGAAGAGAAAGTTCTCTTCTCTGACCCACATTTCTCACCATTTGAAGCTAAAAGGAGGGTCCTGGATCCGTGCTGAGAGTGGCCTCCATCTTCCTTGTCTGAAACAGGAGCTGGCCAGAGATCCTGCCTCCTCCCTGGTCTTAGCTTGTATTCCCAAATTTTAAAAAAAATTACATGGATGCAGAGAAGCAGGGAGTCATTGCGGAAGAGAAATTCCCTGCCATGTGAGTGAGATCTTAGAAGCATCTGGTTTGTCACTGTAGGGCATAGGCTGCTGGACCCAAATGTCACAACCCGAAGGTGTATTGGTGCATGGAGTCCCCCCAAAATCCTGGTCATGGCTCCTAAACTAATTTCTCATATGATCAGAAGGGAGAGATTATTTAGGACATGATTGGCAAGTAATCTTACTATACTTAATCTAGTACTTGGCACCCCGAAAATTGTATTGTGCACTCTTTAGCCCTTTGGTCTGATCCAGGCAGGCTAAAAAGAACCCTGGGATTCTTTAATTTAAAAGGTGTAACTTTACCCCAAAAAGTGTACGTATTGTCCACTTAGTGATGGCTGCTTCTGGTTAGAAAAAGTCTTGTTTGAGGAATCTGATCAGTTGCAAAAACACTGCAGTCTTATTAAACCATTAGCTTTTTCTCTTTGGCTGCAGCAGATAGGCAGGACAGGCCTTTCTTAAGCTGAAACTTGGAAATCAGACAACTGTTCTTCCTCCTCCCACCTCATTTTCTCATTTTGATTAATGGATAGATGTTCCCCCAATCCCCTTCTGCTGACTAGCCAGAAAAGATTAGGTTGAGCATATAGCAAAGAAGTTATGTTTCTTTATCCCCAGGTGTCTCTGAAAAATGCTTCAAGCCAAAAGCTTTGGCCAAGCAACTTTCCCTAGCAACTGTTAATTGATTTGCTGAAGAGTTTTAAAAGATAAAGTTAGCCCTGTGGGTAAGAGGTATTGAATCCCAGCCTCATGGCTTGGAAACAGATGAGCTTTTACAAAAGATTCAAGGAGTCTTTGGAAGAGACCCCACTCCTCCAGGGTATGAATGCTGAAGCTACTTCCAACCTTTGTTAAATAGGCTTTGCAGGATTTGGTCTTCCAAAAACTTGGCAACCTGTTTAGCCAGAGGCAACGTGGCACAAATAATGTGCCCTTGCACTCTCTTGGGAGGGAAATCTTTCTCAAAGCCACTTTTAGTCTCTCAAAGATGTTTGCCTGTGCTCTCAACCTATCCCCTTCACCCTTCACCCTTCCTCCTTCCTCATGTTGATGGTTTCAATCCTGTGGTTTGTTAGACACCCTTAGAGACTAGATGTCCATCTGAAGGGTCAGTGGCCCTGCCACAGGAGAAACGTTTCCATCCGAAGGCTGTCCTCTGCCCTAATTCCAACATTTCCTTGTCAAGTTAACCACGTTAACTCTGATTTGTCCTCTCTGACCTGAATAGTCTCACTCTGCTTGTTTATTTATTTATTTATTTCCCCTGATCAGCAAACAAAGCAATACTTTTTAAGTAACAATGCACTTAAAAGAACAAAACGGCTTGCCTTTGACCATGGCAGATAGCAGGATGGCACTTTTCATTTTAGAAACAGGTCGTGTTCTTAGCTTTCATGAACGCCTTCCTTCCTTCCTTCCTTCCTTCCTTCCTTCCTTCCTTCCTTCCTTC